GTAGTAGGTTACTAAAGCTCACGATGAGGAATTTTGGCTTCAGATTTTTCCTAAGTGTAGCAGGTTTTTTCCAAGTATTTTTTCAGCAGAGTTCTACTGGTTGGTATTATGGTCTAGCTCACAAAGCATTCAGTCTCTGTTTAGTCCTATATAGATACCTGTGTATGTTACAAAATCACTTCACCTGTTATCCTAAACAGGGATCTATGCTGATAAGATGTCCAGTCAATAGCAGACGTTTTGCAAGTTTGGCTTCAGCCTTGACAGAGCCCAGGAAAAACAGAGCTAGAGAGTACAGTTTCTGGTTCTGGCTACTGCTGCCCTTCCCTGTCCTGTCCCCTGAGATGCTCTGCTGTTCTTTGGAAAGCAAGTCAGAGCACACACCTCAATGGACTGTGCTTTAGCACAAGAGCTGTGCAGAGCTTTCCCACTGAGCCTCAGGGATATATGAAGCCTGATCTGGGGATCATACTTAAAACAGATCTGTTTCACCTGCACATTACTCTAGACATGTAGGCTTTTCAACCAAACTGTATGTACTGGATTTCTGTTTCTGAGGGTTGAGCTCTTTCTAGACTGTGGGTCAAATCTGAGCCCACACTTCCATCCCAGAGATTTTCTAATCAGGCAGGCAAGGATTTCCCTCATGGTGATGAATGCTACAGAAGCATATAAATATATAGGCACTGTTACCTTTCTTGTTGCTAAGTGCTCCCTAGTCTGAAAGAGCGCTTAGCAGTTGTCAGAAATGCTGCACTATAATTTAAAATAAACTGTAAATCCCTGAGATGGATGAAAGTATCAAGATGGATGATCTTGCAATGGTCAGTAGAGAGGCTGCTGGTGATTTCAATGACTTAGCTTACCAGTCATGCTTGAAGATGACAATGCATATTGAAAGGGACATAGCAAAGAGGATCAGGAGGATACATCAAAGGCTAAAGGATAGGTGCTATTAAACATTCTCCAGCCTGCAAGCCTGTAGTTTTTTCAGTTTCCTTCTGACCAAGAGATTGTATCTGGAGGAAAAACCAAAAGTATTCCATATTGCTTGCAAACAGGCAGATACAGTCCTTGGAGTGAGTGATGTTCCTGTCTTCCATTTTCCTTCGGAAGCTCTGTGCTGCCAGCCTTTCTTCTTTTTCCTGGTTTTATGTTAAAGAAAGCCAGCTGGGCTAAACAGGCAACTGGCCCGTGTTCCATAAGATAATGGATCAAATTATTATCAGAGACCAGCTTGGAGGAACAGCTACACAGCTATATAGCTATACAGCTATTGTTCAATAGTCACCATGGCAAATACAAACCCTCCGAAATGCAAAGATGGAGGTGCTAGCAACTCTCCAAAATGCAAAGAAAACAGCTTGCAGTGTTCTTGCTGATTGCTTTTGCCTTGATTTGTGTTTAGGAATGAAAATATTTGTCACATCTCTGAAAAGAGGAACAGAGTTTGGTAAACCAGATCTACCACTAAGGTGGCACAGTGAGACACCTACTCAATCCAACTATATTTAGTGGAGTGCCAGTGTAGGAAGAGCCATACCAGACTCTACTTGGAGTTCATATAGCTTCTCCTTATCTTTGATGCTGTCTGGGTGCTCTGGAAAATAATATAAGTCTTAGGAATGGGAAACCATGTAATAATCTCTTTATGAGGATTCTTACTTTCTAGCCTGCTGCAAAAAAAACCCTGTACTCTGAGGTTTTATTCATCTTCTTGGGTTTCTTCTTAAAAACAAACAAACAAACAAAAAATCCTATGCTATTTGATACAGAGTTTTCTGATACTGAAAAGAAAATCCAGTCTTTGAAAACCCACAGTTTTGAGCACCAGTAATGTTTGGTGGCAATGGATTTCACAAGGAATTTATATCTGACCTTTTGAGCAAAATATCTGCAAAAATAGGAAGACTAGGTCTGACTGGTTATTGACATTTCTCTTGATCAGTACGCCTGAGTTTAAATTTATCAAATAATCATTTTATCACTGCCTTCTTCAATTTCTTACTCACTTCCAAAGGGCTTTGAGGAACTTCTCAACGACCTGCTGTAAAAAGCAGGGTCCTGATCCTCTTGTGAGGGATGCCCATGCAACTTAATAGCATGGCCTTTCTTAGCCCTTAGTGCTTGGCTTGATCAGGATTCCAAACTATGTGCAGCTTCAGTAATGCTAAACTGGATCAACTGGAAGCCACAAAGAGATAACTGCTATATTTCAGTTTATTAGCTATTCAAGCTCACTTTTAAACTTTTAAAAGGCAAATTATAATTGAAAACATCTCGGTAGAAATATATTCTGCTTTCATGGACTATGGATATGCATGTTTAAGCTATCATGCCATGACACTATGCTCTTTGATTTGTATTTTTACTGATGCTTTGACTGAGTAGTTTGTTGCAATGTACTGCTAAATGAAGGAAAAATCAAAAACTGCATCAGACAACCACTCTATTTCATTCTAGAAAATAGCTGGCAATTATAATTACTCACCATGTTTCTGGCTCAGAATAAAAGTGGCATTGCACAAAAAAACCACACTGAACATTCATCGTGATTAGAAAATGCTCCATACCTTGGAGTGCAGTGGAGACATAAGAATAATTTTAAATGCAAATTAAATTGTGGGGGTAGCAAAGAGAACAGATAAAAGACAGTAAAACAAAGCCTTTCACTTTCCTCAAATTAGCAGGCTAATGTAGTATAAAAAAAAAGCAGTTCTACTCAGATCTGTGCTAAGAGCTTTCATTTCATCATAATATAAAACAGCAGATCCGTCACCTTTCTCTATTCAGTACTCTTGATTTCGAGGTTGAAGTGAAAATTAGAAGCTGTTCTTTCTGGCTCACAGACTGGGTTGCATTTGCTTAGTCTTATTCCATGACAGTAGGATGGAAAGAGGTCAGTAACACTGGTAAGTACTTCTGCATCTGATTTTATTTATTTATTTCTTAAATCTTTCAGTGCTTTGGCTTTTTGTCAATGTGCATTTCCTAAAAAAAAAGCTACAATGTGTATTTTGTAAAAGGCTGTATCTTACACAGAAAAGCAACGATTCCTTGCGAATGCTTATATCGGATGTTAGAGCTCCTTCAAGTATGAATGAATTGCTTAAAGTAGGAATTCTGTAATAGGAAAGGTTTCTTAATATTCTATATATTTCATAGGATCACTGGAACATTTTATGTGTTGCTTTTTCTGTCTGCCTTGTCCAACAAGCAGTACCAGATAAGAAATTAATCTCTTCTCAAGATGTTATTTGCATTATATTCATAGCAAAACAATCTCATTATCCTTATGGTAAATGATGGAGTAAGCACATATTTTACTTAGTGAAAGCAAATTACTAGATAAAACACAATGTTATGTTTAAATTTAACCATTATGAAACATTAAAAATACCTCAGAATATGATATGCAGCAAGGAAGATTGATGTGTAAAACAAATTCTTAAGTAAACTTGATATAGATTTTTTTTCCTTGAGAAAGTTTTTATCAAATCAAAACCAGGGGCTTAATTTTTTAGTACGAAGGGCGAGGGGGAGTGGGGGAGATGAACGTAGTGTCACCTCCTGTTGCTAAGTAACAACATCTCCTGGCCATTTTTATCTGATAAAGGAAGTCCAGTTGACGTTATGCATTATTCATCAGAGTTCCAATCAAACAATCAAAATTGTTTGCTTACACTGAGGACATTTAGTAAGATCAAAGAAACCCTCCTTGAAACTACTGGAGCTTACACCACTGCCAGATAGCCCTTGATACTCTGCAGTAAGTATCATTTCTGGTTTGGGAGTGCTACAGTAAAGTGAATTGCTGTGGAATGTAAAAGTTTTCTCATCAGGACAGACTTCTGAATTTTTAAAGGACTGCACGTTTATTGATGAAAGGAAAAAGGTAAAGCTTGGGAAACCTGGTTTCCTGATTTTTGCACAGCAAAATTAAAGGAATTACTTGAAGCAAGAGTCAGATTACCTGCTCCAAACCTTTTTGTTGCATGGAAAAGGACTAGAGGTATTTTTGTCAATCTTTCTTAAATACACGTTCAGAGTTGTTTGCATGCTTATGATTATATGCTGTGGTGAACTGTGGTGTGGGTGAGAGAACAGGGTTTTGTGTTTTCTGCAAATCTTGTTTTTTTAATGTTTTAAGAGTATAATAAAATGCCGAAGGTAATAATGAAGCTGGAGAAGGGTCACAATATATTTTCAGGAACTCTGCTGGGCATAGGCAAGCAATTCAATGTACATCTTGGAGAGTTGTAATCTAGGATCTCGTCACATCTGAGATTCAAAAGGATGCCAAAAATATGAACTTTAGCTACAAAACAGTGCTAGGAGTAGCCTACTATTTCTTAATGAGTGCTCTTACCACATATTTTAAAACTGATGGTGGAATGTTCTGTTGCTGCTTCTGGTCAGCAGGAGGAGAGAGGGAAGGCAAAGTTCACTTCTGGTCCGTTTAGGTTGAGTGAAATATCCAGAATATTGTGTCTTCTTATCTAGTGCAGTGTTTTGGCAAGAATGCAATATTTAATGTAGTCTGTTATAGTAGTGCCTACTTGGAGACACGGGCTGGGAATCTGGCTAAAGGAGGACCCTCTCCTGAGCTTTTCTGATTTTCTTTTTAAGAGCAAATGTAACAGGCAGATGAAGTACGTGTCTAAAGAAATGGAGACTGCGACTAGAATACAGGTAATTGTACTAGGAAGGTACTAGGAATCTTGCTAATACTGCAGTAGCACTTTTCTTTTTTGTCTTTAGACACGGGTTTGAATCAAACATTCTAAAATAGAAAAGGATGCCTATGAAGTTCTATGAATAGTGACTTGAAAATACTTTGACCCTAATATGCCAGATGAAATACTTTAGTGACTGCCTACACGGTTCTTTCCACAAAGAAACCCACCAGCTTTTTTCTCTGACATCTCTGTAATCTTTTCTAGGAACCTGACTGATCATTCATACCGGAGTATTGTACACAAACACAAAGCACCTTCAAAATGGACTACTTTTTGGATGTTGAGTCTGCTCACAGACTGTTTTACAGTCAAGGAGCCCAAGGTAAGAAACTCTGGCACTGACTCAGAAAATGACTGTTTAACTGTACAGTTGAAATGTATAGGGCCAGATAGGGGCCAGTGATGGACATAAGTGTTGAGAGGGCACAGGGTAAGGCCTTCAAAATGTTTGGGCTTTAAAAGGGACTACAAAAAAAGTAATAGTAAAGTTGATCTGCACTCTCAGAGGATAAGGAAGAGCTGTGAGAGCTGTTGGGTGCACTGCAGGAGCAAAAAGAGCTGCCAAGATCCAGGTTCTGGTGTTGCAGAGCCCAAATGGACAAGACAGAGGAGAAGGCAATAGCCCACAGCTTGCTGAGTGAGCCTGTGGTGCCCCTTCCCTTCCTCCTTTGTCTTCTCAGTGCTGACAGGATCGTAAGGTGATGCTATTCCGGAAGAACTGGTTTGGGAAAGCCCTGAGGCAGTCCCCCACATGGTTTGCAAACAGCAGCTCTCACGGGTCTGAGTCGTCCCCTGTGAAATGCTGGCCCCCACAAGGCAGCAGCAGGGTGAGACGGGAAGAAGGGTAACCAAGATCCACTGCTTTAATGTCGTTGAGACTTGTTCACAGCATAGATGATATTTTTGGTAAAGTCAGTTCACATTTTTCTCGCTAGCTCTATATTTGGAGAAAACTTGCAATTTCAGAGAGAAGGGTTTTTTGGGTGTTTTTTTTTTTTGTTCAACTTTAATCATCATATTAAATTCAAGAAAACTGTAAGAGCCAAGTAGCTCTATCAGCCATTTTTGTTTCTACATACTGCCTGTTTTTTGAAAATGAGATCCATTTTTCTTCCACTATTAATTTCATTGCTTGCTAATCAAATGCAAAGTCTGGACAACAGAGTTTGGCCTTCCCTCTGGAGGCCATTCTCCCAGAACAAGATGTAATCCACCCATGAGATGCCACCATCTAAGGGTACATGGGGAGCAGTACCACTTCTGGCCTTCAGCTCAGCTGAGGTGCTGCTGCCTAAAACATGCTGTGTTGCTTAGCTGCTGCCTCAGTTGTCGTGATACATTTTCATCTGTACTAGTTGCAGAAAGCCTTTTTTGTCACAACACAGCTTGCTGCATTGAACAAGAGAAGTAAATACTAAGCACCACAAAATCAGGGAAAAAACAGCTGAGGGCAATGACTTATTTTGATGGTTTTTTTCCTCCATCTCTAAAATCCAACAAACACCTGGGCATTGCTACAGAAGTAATTTTGAAATATGTTCTTCAACCCTCTGAGCAGAGAGGTTGAACTAGATGACCTCCTGTGATTCCTTCCACAACCATAACCATTCTGTGATATCTCTATGGGAACAAACCATTTCTATTCCACTGAAACTAAAATTCAGGAATATACGTCTCACTGCTTTACAAACTATAGCAAATTATCAACAGCATCCAAATGCCCTGTGCACTGCAACAACTGTGGAAGAAAGAATATGTGTTCATGCAATGGAAATCATGTGCACAAGGTGACTAGTAAGGGTTGTGCAGGTCACCTTCACTGTAACTTTTTCCAAGCAGGCAAGATTGAAAAAACATTATCTTAGCCATACTTGGAGAAATTATATTTGTTAGCACGTATAGAAATGCTTGTACTGATCAGTTATTAAATCCAAAACAAGGAAAAAATCCATTATGCAGAACTGTATTCCTTGATACAAATATCATCAACAGGGGCCTGACCTCTAGATCTGTCAAGTGGGCTTCTATCCGTTGGCCAAAACAAATAGGAACTGGCACTGAGACTTGGAGGTTTTTTTGTTCCCCTGCTTGTGAATGTTTAAAGTCACCAATTATATGCTTCCTCTGTGCACCAGAGTGTCCCAGACTCTAACTACCTCCACAGCTGAAAACATTGACAGAAAAGTCATGCTGCACTTAGGCTCTGTCCCCTTCCACTTTTCACCTTTCTCGCTGCTCTTTTTACTGCATCTCCCAGCTCCTGCCCTTTGCACCTCTTACCTCTACATGCTTGAGGGGACACCTCTTCCCCAGACTCTAGTAACCTCCCCTCTCTTCATATTTCTGTGCTAGAGGTCAGCTGCTCTCCAACAAGCTGAGTGCCAGCAGGGAAACTGCTCTGAGCACAGAAGAGACAATGCTTCTGCTTTACATTCTCAAATGCTGCAACACAGCAGCCCCCTGGCAACAGGAGAGGTGCTTGAGGAGATGAACGGATAAACAACTGCAGTGGCAATAGGATGTGAGACAAAGGGTGGCCTGTGCAGAGAGAAGTTTCAGGAGGCTTTCACTGAGCCTTTCTGAGGTGCCACAGATGGCTTCAGCAGGCTGAACAATAAGCCTCTGGAAGAATTCTAATCATCAAGCTTTTTTGCAGTAAATGCCTTTATCACTATCTCTAGTCCCAAACTTCTATATATCCCCTTCCTCTCAGCTACCTTACCCTCAGTACAGAACAAGGATCTCAAACTTATTGAGTGTGCATTCATGCTGCTTATACAGCTCTGCTAACTCCTGTTGCCCTTGTACCTTATGCCAAATTTTAAGGCTGTCTTCTAAAAAACAAGCTTCTATATGAGATAATGGCGTGATATCTCCAAACATGGGCAAAACCAACTTCTTTCTTTCCTTCTCCACCTTCTGAGAAACAGGTTAACTGCATTAGCTTTAACTTTCTGAAACCACCCCCAAAACACACTGAATGTGAGACACTCATTGCAATAAATAACATAGCTCAAGTAGCTAGAATGGAACAGAATAAAAGGTCTGGAAGAAAGCACTGTCAACAGATCTGCCTAATGGGCTTGCAAGTAACTATTTCATGTTGATATAATACCATGATGCTATTAGCAAATCACACTATCAAAGAGCATGTGTATATGCATTAAAACTGCAATAAGAACTGAGTGAAAGAAGACTACACTATTCTGTGATTTAATTAGAAACAACATCAGAAAACAGTATATGTTTTATTAGTACTGCAGTTATATTATTAGTTATTGCATTACAAAGTGCTCTGTTTACAAAATGTAGAATGGGGCTTTATGACCCACTCAACTGTTCTGTGAGATTTGAAGATCTCTGCCTTTTAGTACTCCTGATCAAGAAAAAAATATTTCCAGTGTTTTCACATTAATGACATGACAATGTTACAAATCGCAGCTATAAAGCACTCATTATCATTTGTAGCCATTCCTTGTGGGTGGAAGAGAAGGGAAGGAATACGACTGATGACATCAAATTCTACTTGGCCAGGGGTCTTGTGTGATACTCTTGACCTCAACAAATAGACTGAGACAGGGCTTTATCCTCCAGCACCTAACCCACCACTTCTCTACGCCTTGCTGCCTGCACTAACACCCACACCTTGTCCCTGCTCCTGCAGAAAGATGCAAACTGCCTTTGCTGTTTTAGGGTAGGAGGAGAGAGGTGTTACTTTATGAGCTGCCACCTCTCCCATCCGCTCCTCTGCAGGAGCAGCCATCACCTCACTTCCACGGGCTGAGCACAGAGCAGAGAAATGCTTGCCCATTCAGGTCGTATCTGCTGTTCAAACAGCTGTTCCCTGTTTCCTTCAAGGAAAGTGAAGCAGGAGGGATGGAAAAGTCACAAAAGCTGGATCTGGCAGTAGGATTAGCTAGATTTAGAAAGCTTGGTAAATGAAGCCAGCTGGCTCTAGTCTTCAAACATAAGCCAGAAATATCCTAAGCTCTGCAGCCCTCCTGACTGTCTCTTCTATACTGTATGTTGGAATCTAGGAGCTGGTGGGATGTCCTTGCCAAGTGCGTAATGCCTGGTGACGCATCTGCAAATCAGATACAGGAAAGAAAGGACTGTGATCCCTTGGATCCAACCTCTTGCCCTTGGAAAGCCTGAATCTGAAATCTAAGCATGAAGCTGGACTTTCATTTTCAAAAAAGCCTTCTCCCTCTGAAGTATCTGGAAGATACTGGTTATTCTTGGTTGCAAATGCATTCGATATACAAATCTATCATGGCTTTAGCTGCAAAGGCTGAAAATATATAATGTGGCCTGGAATAGTATTTAGCTCACTTATCCCTTAGGTGACCTCAGTTAAGATGTTTCCACCTAAAAGTTCTAACTAGCTTGGAATGTATCAGAAAAAACGTCATTTTAAAAGCAGGGTTCACCTAATCTTAGACATCTTCCTTGGTTAATATAAGTCTTGCCTCTATACTGATTATGAAAGCCTGGACAGTGAACTTAAGTGAAAAATGCTTGTGCTAATAACATTTGTTTGCATAGAGGAATGGCGTGTCAACAGGCAAGATATGATCTAATTCAGAAAAGGGAGTAATTTCCCTGAAAATGGGTAAAGCTGTAATCAAAAGCTGTAAATGTGCAGATCCCATCTTGGCTGTAGCCTACTTTGGAGAAACATCATTGATCTTGAAGTTCTATATGAAAGTTATGCTTTCAGGCATGCAGAGAAAGACCTAACATTTGACAGAGCTGAGCAGGCAGGCACTGAGGAGCAGCAGAAGTGAGCAGCTCCATAAAGAAAAGTAAACCCAGAGTCACCAAAACAGGCAGAGGCAGCAGCCTCACCTGTGAAAGGTAAAGCATGGCAGCACATGAGCCAAGCAGGTCTGTTGGCAGTTACCAGGTTCAGTCAGGAGTCCAGACCATCAGAGAAGTCCATGGATGATGAGGCAGGCATGAGACTAAGCAGGACATGAAGTCAGCAGTCTGGATGTGGATCAGTGAGGAATGTAGCCAGCCACAGGCATAGCTGCAACCTTGCTCAGCAAATGGCCGTGATGTAAATGTAACTCAAAATCAGGGAGAAAGCAGCTTTTGAGGCTTCTTGCTCCTTTCTCAAGAAGCTCCAAAGATGGTCAGGGCCTCTTAAACCACTCTCTCCAACAGTTGTACCATGTCAAAGAGCCTGCCTTGAGCACAGCCAACTAAACTCTTCAGGGAGTGCACACAGAGCTGTTGGTACCTGGCTTTTGCCTAGGCTCCATCAGGACTAAGAACTGAGGAACCCCTCCCTCCCATGGTAGACAAGGGGGTTGAGCA